TCCGCCGATCTGCTATAAAAGTATAGGATGTTTTACTGAATCAGAAGGTCTATCAAGAAGTTAAGTTGATCTATGCATGAGTCACACATGAGTCCCTTCGGAGGCAAATGACTAGCTTACAACCGTTGAGAACGATTTGTCGTAATTCTTAGAAACCAGCGCTGGGAACGCCATTATATTTCTCATAGATGTTGTGCCTAGATGGGCTGTTAGCAGAGTTAATTGGCACCTATAAGGTGTAACGAACACATGGATCGAGCAGAATTTTCCGCTGTTGCGAGGTGCAAGACATCTCAGAGATATAGAGTCAAGAATGAAGAAGCTCCGTAATGTTCAGACCCAGAGCTATTAGAGAACAAGGTTGCACAGTCGCCACAGCAAAATGTAGATGGGCGTGGCACGGAAATCCGAGTAAGGACCACATGTCTGGTCGGCGACCAGCATGGTAGGAACATACTCTCAAGGAGAAGGAGGAGGAGCTTTTAATCAGGAACATCTAGAATGAAACTCTGAAAGAACTCTCATAAAGAAGCACCTCAGCGAGATTCGCTTGAGAGATCTGAGATAGGAGGAAATTGAGGCAGCGCATGAGAACGAAACCTAGCATTCAGCCACGGAATACATCAAATGTACAGTATCAAATGAGTGCGAGCGAAGCGTTTTGTTAGCTCCCTCAAGCAAGCCCAGAGTCGAAGAGGCTAAAGCATTTCAAAACCTCCAATATCAAATTGAAGACTTCTAGAATTTAATCAACCATGTCTCATTCTGGTCAGGTGAGGCAACATTTCAGAAAGACATATTCCTTACAGGAAATCGGGCCGAAAACGCGCTGAGAAGGAACGTCTAATAAATCCAGGTGTTCTCATGTGAAGACTAACCGACTTGCAGTGGGAAAACATTCCATAGACGTGAGATACATACTTTCAGTTTTCTTCCTGATGCAAAAACAGCCATATCCACTGAATGCCATGTAAAATCATGAATAAATGGACAGATATATGAATTTATGAATATTTCAAGCATGGACTCTAGAGCATGTAGTTCTGAAGCTCAGGTGAATTTCCCGCTTTGAAAAAAGCACCCACTACAAAGAAATGATTGGAAACTATGCTACGGACTTGTTCGCTGCGGACCATGAAGCGAGCTGGAGTTGGGTTTAACTCGGCACCAGCTTGTTCTCCACCGATTGTGGCTGCCTGCCAGCTTCCACAGCTGGTGAAGAGCAGGCAAGCGCCGCGCCAAACCAACTCCAGAAACTTCGCAGTAAGAAAGACAGGACTATACGCATTCCGGTAGAGGACATAACTGCGACGGAAGAACACTTCCAGATACAATCCCGCGTTCTCATCTATGGTCTGCCCTGCTTCCAGAGCGGATGGGCTATGGGCCTTTCTGCCAGCTTTATACGTACCACGCCACACGAAGTCCGAAAGTGGAAGAAGTTGGATTTTTTTTTTGCAAAAATGATGAAGGCCTGCTAAGATGCACTAGAGGTGGTTGTAGAACTTGAGACGTCAAACTCAAGAAGTTATTGCTGCATATCAACGTAGTGGGCCTTTTTTGAAAGTGCGAGAAATTATCGATTGCCATGAGCGTGGTTAGTTTACTTGAAATGTAAAGAACTTGGAGAAACAGAAACTTTGGAGATCTTTTGTACTGATCGAAGACCCTATATTGAAAAAAAAATGTGTGACTGCTGGCCATTACAAGCAATATCGCCACGTTCGCTGACCTATGTGGGCTTCAATAGCCATCGGCTTTGTGGCGAAAAGCACCAATTGCTGAAGCTGAAGTCACCCACGGTGACCCGCTTCAGCGAACTCGAACTAGTTCGTACTTGTTCCAGGCGTTATTAGAGTGCGTTTGTAGGCTACGAGGTTCCTTCCGTTTTCATAAGTCTGAAAAAGCAGTCGGCAGTACTCCTACCGTGACTTCTCATCCGACAATGGCGACTAAGCCGAAACGTTAGCAAAATATCTGCGTGTAGCGGGAAGCCGATTTACATTTTGGCTGTGGTATCAGCATATCCTAAAGGAGACTCTGTTCCTATGGCTCCTCTCGAGACTTGTCGATGGAGCAAGAACGACATGGCAGCAGACGAAAATTCCTTTTCACGAGGGCCGTTCGTGACTGTGCTTCGAGAACCAAAGAGGGGAGTGATGAATTCCACCTCCGTCACGACCGATTCGTTTGCACCGCATTTATTGCATGAAATGTCCAATACATTAGCCCATGGTTTGTTGGCCAAAGAAATTTATTTCATCAAAGCTTCCGGTAGGAAAGCCAAATGTGTAGCAGAAGTGGGAATCATTTCTGGAAGATGTAAACAACGAATGGTGGTTCTGTGTTACCGACCTCCCATATAAATTATATAACGACGTCCATTCATAGCCAGGCAGGCTTCTGTGTACTGAACTCGGTAGTAACGTGTACGTAAACTCGGACCAAACGATGTTCCATTCACAGCGTTTATCCTCATTTCACAAACGCCTTTCACCTTTACGATTCCGCGCTCCTTACTGCTTTAAAGGCACAGAGTTCGCGACCGCAAATTGCGGGAAACGGAACTCAAATAGGCACAAAAAAGCGCTAAGTAACTAATTAGCGGAGAAAAGCAGCATAAAAAGCAGTCCGAAATGTTATAGAGAAAGATAACATAGTGACTACTAGCTAGTAGCTAGCAGCCAGTGAGGGTCGGCATGGGCCTAAGGGGTGTCCATGGGGCCTAATTAGTCAGCTTCTAGCCGGAGTTCTGCCGTCGTTTTTCACATTTTGAAAGTAGCGCAGCCTCAAAAATCGCCTTCCGGATCGTCCGACACATTTGAGAGGTCATAGCCTTATTTTATCGCGGAATGTGCCTTTTTAACTTATGCCTCTGACTGTGGCGATGACTTGGACTTTTACGAGACAGCATGAGCATTGCATTAGCATGCATTCGATGTGAGCCCAACTCGAAAGGGCGATGCTGCGGCAGCTTTCCCGCTACACGAGAGAGGGGGAAATGTGCGCTTTCGAAGAACGACCCTGGACCAGACAGCGTTCAGTTGAATGGATTCCACTGATGTCAAACGAACCACAGCGCAAGTTCGGTGACGGCGGGGGGAAGGTCGGGGAAGGAGGGCATCTTGTTACTATCACGCTCAGCCCTAGTTCCGGATTTACAAGTCTCACTCTGGCGAAACCTGTGAACTCTTGTGAAGCTGGAGCAAGCTCGTCAAGCCATCATGGTAAAACCTGTCAACTCGAGAAGAGGCTGTCTAGATAGGTCGACACGTCGATGGGAAGTAGCAAAAGTGCAAAATGCCCCCCGTCGCCGAACGCGCCTTACATGGATGTCTAAGCGAAGGTCAGACTTTTACGTGAGAGCTTTGAGCGAACGATATGATGTTCATCATCTCTCTTCAGCACAGGGAACCCATTGTGCAACTATATCACGTTGCAGAATTGGTCGCGGAACTAGGGAACCACTTCTTTCTCGCATCTTCCATAGACTCCCGGGAACAATTTTACTTACAGCTCTATGAACCGATTACGCAGCGATATTTTGGATTTTTTAGCTACAAGTTCCTTCTACTTTTGTTCTGTGTTGCAAGGCACCTCCAAGGTAATTGTCGGATGCGGAACTAGCTCCTTTCAAATGCTATGCGAAAAGCTATCGGATATGGGTGACGCGTTAGCAAGTCGACAGCCAATCAAACGAACCAGACATGTTCCATTAGACTGACGGTTGAAAAAATGCAATTCCATGAGAAAGCAATATGAATGCCATTAGCGCAATGCATTTAGGCGGAAGGGAGGCTAAGAGATCTCGGTCAAAAAGTCGGATCCCCGCGAAGGTTCAGTGGGAGCAAAATGCAGGAATGTTTAGCAGAATTTTGGAGCGGTAAATTGAAAGCTGGAAAGTAAGTCTCTAAAGGTCGATAAGTAATGATTAGTGAAGAGATTATTATTAGAAGGTTAGTTTGACATGCAGCAGACCTGCGCTTCGTTCCTACTGATGCAACCCTTACTCGAATACCCCTGGTCAACTTGAGGGATAATCTGTAAAAGCTTAGAGAGGTAATCTTCACGCTCAGGTTGAAGCACGGGACCTTGTCATGAGAAATCAAGGAATGAAAACAGGGGTCTGTAGTCGATGGAGCTTTACAGTTTGGCGGGTTGGAGGGGGTGGCCATGAAAGCAAACATGAGTAAAGAAAGCCAAAGCAGGCAGTGGTCCTCGTTGAGGATGTAAGGCAGGTCACAAAATGCAGGGCCAGAGCGCGTTGAATACGAGCGCTAGGCTGTTGCACATAAATGCAGCGCTGGGAAGAACTGAGCGAGAATGCACATGAGGCCCGATCAGGAGTGACGCATTTGAACTGAGTAAATTTTCAAATAGTTCTAAAAAAGCTTCAGGTAGTCAACGGGATTGTAGCTGTACCTCTGATTGCTCAATCTAGCCGAGAGTCAGCTACGTATTAGTAGCCAAGTGCAAGGCGAAGTTAAAGGTTGAAGAGATAGCTTCGGTGACAGTGGTGATGAAATTACATCTACTAGTAAATCATAAAAGCTGGAGGAACCCAACGGCGCTTTTGCAGCGCATTCAAGCCTTTCATAAAAGAGGACCGCCCATGGCGCCGTCCAACAACCCGCTTCTAAGTAATATCCGCAAACGCGGAGGAAACTGAGGGACAATCCGAACTAATAGGTTACAACAATTGCGGCGAGTTCCACCAGCGCACGTGGGGCATAATTAGATATATAAGACCAAAATTTTATTGTGCTTAAATTTTACACATCATATTAACGCTATTGTCCGAAAAGCTTTCATAACTCTTTTTGCTATAGTCAGAAATCAGAAATGTTCGACAAAGTGACCCCTCAAATTTGCTGAAGCTTTACAAGGCGCATGTCGTTTCCGTAAATGAATATGACCCACAAATATGGAGCCCGCACACGAGGAACCTACAAGCGAAAATTGAAAAAGTTCAGCGAACTTTCATTAGGATTTTGTTGTGCCGATGTTATCCCAATCCCTCACACCCTATCCAGTTACAGTGATCGTCTACATCGCTTCAAGCTCAGGACATAACTGTACAGAAGAGTTTTTGATGATATTGCTTTCTGTTTCAAGGAAGACATGAGGTTAAAGGCACGGTCCGCGACAAATCACGGCTACAACCTCTCAAACAGTGCACGACGACCAAGTAGGCACCAGCAGAGGCTGTACTACATGCAAACTTTGAGAAGTGGCAACCAGAGCACAGGGCGCTTTGGTTTTAGGCCCATGGGCGCTCAATAGGACTCATGCCAGCCTTCGCTGCCCCTGTCGTTGTGAAAGTGCCATTACGCTCCTCGCCCGTCGTTTTCTGGCTTCTCTCGGGTTGTTAGCTTATCGTCTCCTTTTGCAATTCACAAGTTGATCTTGACCATCTTATGCTCGTCCGGTGATCACGATCATTGCAATAAAGAGGGTCTTATTGCGGGCGGTTTTTCGAGCTTTCTTCTCCTTCAGTAAGTCAACAAGAACACGGCAATTCTATTTTTGAACTGTATTACATATGGAGTGCGATTGCAGGAGTTGCCTTCAGAGCCGAGTAATTATTGGGTACTCAAATAAAGCAGCGGCTGCACTACTTCGTTAAATCTCCAATGTCCTAAACTAAGAAGAACCCTCCGAACCAGAGTTCTTCAATCCTTCATTTTAGCGGGGTGCAGGGTGGCTGCAGTCGTTGCCATCAGGTCCACAGAGGGCGCCTGTTACAGAAGTGTTTTGGAGAAAATTGAAGAAAATAGACCGCTTCGCCGTAGCAGGCATTCAAGATTTTTGAATTCTAAGCCTAGAGAACTCTTTACTTGTGCGTATTACTGTTGCCTAATTTAACTTCTTTCGTATTATGCGTGTGTTGCAGTTTCTTGGCCATTTATTTCCACATATCTTTATTGCAGCGCACCTGTGCGTGCATAATGAATAAATAAATCAATTAATATGCCTTAAAATGGCACGAGTGGTGATAACCATGGCTCTTTTATGATCTCTGTCGCTATTAGACTTTCTTCATCATTTCGTAATGGGCATATTTCAAAGTAGTGAACACATGACTCATCAAATTTTCCGGGAATGGTCAGCGTATGAAAACCCACTGCCTCTTCCCGTGATAATTTCAAGAGGTGCGGTCCATGTTATTCACGACGTAAACCAAAAATTTTGATGTTCTTTGGCGCAGTTTATCGACGGGGGGCATTTTGCTTTCCATAGATGTGTCGACCCATCTAGGTAGCGTTTTCTTGAGTTGACACGTTTTGGGATGGTGGCTAGACGATCCTGCTCCAGCTTTACAAGCGTTCACAAGTTTTACCAAAGTGAGATTTGCAAACCGGAGCAAGGGAAGCAGTGATAGTACAAAATGCCCCCCTCTCGATAAACAGCGCCTTCTGGTTGTCTGTAACCAGAACATCGCAACCAGAACATCAGAATGTTTGGTTTACGTCGTGAATTACAGCCTCATTGCAAAAAAACTCCTGAACCTGGATCAGTGAGACTTTCTGAGCGTGGATTAGTCTGTTTACCAAGTTTTTTCCTCTGCTACTATCATAAATTGAAAAAAATGTTGTTGACAGTGTAATACTGACAATGTGGTGATACCATGAAAAAAGTCGGACGAGTAAAACATGCAAAACATCGCCTGCCCATATAAAGTGTTTGGTTTTAGTGAACGATACGGTAGTAGCAAGAAGTCAGAAAAGTAAAGAACTAACCGTCGTGATTGAGCTCTACCGATGAGAAAACCGATGAAACGAATGCGATGCGATGGCGAGGGGATGTTGTCAATAAGGACCACTGATGGATCGGTCGACCTCAGAAGACTTTCCAATTGTTTCTCAACCTAAAATGATCATGTACTTGTAAGAAACACTTTCAAGCAAGTTATAGATATAGTTATATGAGGTGAGTGAAAATAGTGTGGCCTCCCAGAAGGACCGGATAGGCGACAGTAGGAGAGAAAAAATGAGCTTCACTAGAGGCCTGGTAGAACGAGTGGAAGAAATTGATAGATGTTCGGAAAAGTAGTCCGAGAGGTAAAAAGGGAAATCACCGGGTCCGTTAGGGTTTGCGTGCTCACGGGATGATAAATGGTCCACATTAGTCAGAAGAAATGGTAGAGTAATGGAGGAGAATAGATCCACCAACTGCACTACTAGCGTACAAGTACTCCAAAGAGCCGCGATCAAGTAAAACGCAATGAAAGTTCGATTGGATGCTACATGGTAGTAGTGTAGGGAACTGCTTGACCAGTGATCTGCTCTGCTTGATCAGTGCTCTATCTTCTCAGAATAATCGAAATTCATGGACCAGTTATTACATCTACAGATGAGTAAGTGCAAATGGAAAGCTGCTGACCTTAACAATCTCCTTTCACTGGTCACTGGTATCTTCCGGTATCCGCACGTCAACAACTCCGTTACGGTCAAGACCGATTCTGACGGAAAGATAGGTGGCGAGCTGACGTGCAAGGTTGCTCTAAACGAGGAATAAATTTTGAGAAAATCTGATTTCTACTACTGATAGATTTGTAAGAAGATTCAGCAACATCAATGAGGAAACGATCGTCTCTACCTTATAGCCTACCTAAGTCCACACGCGTAAAAGCGTGTCATTTAGGAACTGATGAAAAGCTTTTTTCAAACGCTGCAACGATCAGGTGCTCCCGTTCATGAGAAAGAGCTCTTTCGACTCTGATCCACCCAAGGTTTTCTGCAGTAGCAATTTTTCCCGACTTCATAACGCAATGGATAATGTAGTCGGTAAGCCATTTCCAGGAAAACCATTTATGTGCAAGAAAGGATAACAGGATAATGCTTCTGCTGTTGGTCAATTCTGCGGCGCACTGCACTTCTACTCAAAATCGCAGTGGCATTTTGATTGCGATCAACTGACCGGCCCCGAAGGGCAGAAGGCTTGGTTGACCTGAGTGCCGATTCGAGATTACACTCGAATCGCGCGCGTGGTACACCTTTTGATTACTAAAACCTTTCCCAACGTTTCTTCCTTTTTCTTAGGAACACTGGAGTAATAGAGACGAAGCGTAGTGTATAGAAACTAAGTGCTCACTTTGCCAATTCCAGTGGCTCCAGAAAGCACTAATCGCCTATGTGACAGCAAGAATTTGAGCAATTGTTCGAGCATTGTTCGAGGAAATAGGCATTCGAGTACAAGGGAGTCGACAGCATGTTGAGCAGCACCTGAATTGTAAACATATTCAACTAAGCATTCTTTCGTTTCACTTTTACAATGTGCGGTTTTCCCACAGCCGCGTGCTCTACTCCTTCCTTTGCACTTGCTCATCTCGAGGGATGAAAGCAGCGCTTTGTGGAGTGGATGCTTGTGTGCCAGGTGGGTGCCTTATTCACAGGACTCAAATGGCATTGTAGGTAACTACTACCAGGACACAGCATTGTTGTGTGATAACACACTAGGGATCGTATTATACTTTTGCGCTTGGGGTATGGTGGGGTCATATTCGTCGTCGCTGGCGGGGGTCGTATGTGGCTTTGAGAGAAATTAACCGCGTTGAGGAGAAATTTTTCCCTGTTGTTGACTTTTCACGTGATTTTTCCAGTTTCATGTGTACTACTATATATACCATATACACCCCCTTGCTCAATGGAAAATCTCTGGGTGAAAAACTGGAAATGTGGGAGATCGTAGTAGGTGTTGGGGACGGAAGGGGGAGGGCGTACCGAGATCCTCTTTTAGTTGGGGGGTGGGATCGCACCCACACCATCATTTTACACATCACGATGCTGTACCCTGACTGCTACATAGACGTTCTCAACTTCAGAATGTTAACGATTAGAAATAAAGGATCCGCCACCGAAAATAAACGAAACTCTTAATCCCATTGGTCGACCATGGTAAAGAAAGCGAAAGTCAAGGTTTTTTTTCTAACTTCTTAGGTGCTCGGGTACTACAGAATCTGTACGAACACAGTAAAGACAAACGAGGTGCGCATGTTGCGAATGTCGCGTACGTGACAGCAATAGCTAGACCTCCTTTGCACCTCTTCTCGCACTTACCTCTCAAGAACATCCTAACAGTCGTCGTGGGGGCTAAAACATCTCCAGGGATCTGTTCCGGTGGGGTGGCACCTTTTTCGCGAACCAGTTCACCCATCTGATAGCCGATCACACTTTCGGTGCAATGTAGTCCAAGGTGATGATCTGGATCTATTCGGGCAATGTAAGCCTGAAATATAAACCAATAGCAAAGGACCGAAATAATGGGGAAAGTGCTTGGACGTACCTCGAACAGCGAGAATATTTGTTGATCGAGCTCTTCCCAGGCGACGTCTTTTCCTGGGATCGCCAAGAAGCCGATGATAATCTCATTGTCCGGACAGATGGCGTTGCTGATCACACCGCGCAAATCGACATTCACCGTCACCTTTACAGAATTGCAACCCGACGATCCTGCAATGATACCAAGGGTTTCTTTTTTGCCTCAGCGATATACACTATTTATGGTTTGCATCATTCTGGGCTGGTTATTATTATCAAATTTAGATAGGTAGTTCTAGGATATATAAGAGCTTCTGTGACTTGAGGCTGCTCGAAGAGAAATCATTACGTTAAGCATGAAAGATTAAGTGGCTTTGGTTCGACTAGTTTGGGATGAGTCACGCACTCTACTTCCAACCGAATTCGCAGAGCTCTTCTGAATGGAGTTTGGCCTACATAAGGACTAGCCCAACCCAGCCAATGTTCAACTCGGGGCTTTCATCCTGACAGGCGTATTAGCAATTTTGTATGCGGGCAATCGAAAGTTGAAGTCTTTTTTGGCTCAGGTGGATCCGAGCCAGGATTTGAGCTCTAGACCGCGCACGTGTTATGCGCACTTGCTACTACACTACCTCAACCGCTATGCTAGCGTGCCAAAACGAAAAAGCACAAGGTTAGCATGGGGTATTACAAAACTTGAAGAGTTAGGTTAAGATAGGTATCTCCGCACAGTAGCCGCAGCTTTTGTGGCAGAGGTATAAAAAGACTAGCGACCGAGTGTGACTATTTTTAGAAATTCTTGACTTACTTTTGCTCGAATAGCTGCCACTGGAGCTGCTAGGTGGTGCTTCGTAGACAGGGATCTTCGTCACCAAGCATAGGGATGGAGGCCTGGGACGAAGCTCTTGAACCACGGCCGCGCAAGTACCGGGACAAGCCCAGCTGTTTATTCCTCGTGCTGAAATTCACACATTTCTTCGAAGGGGTGACAGAAAAGCAGGTAAAGACAATGTGGGGAAGAAATATGCTGGAGGGGAAGACAGCATCTGAAGAAGAACATACTGGGATGCAACATGGTCCTCACGAATGTTACCAAGAGAGAGGATAGGATAATGGCAGATAGAGGTACTCTTCTCTCGTTCTCCCCGCGAGAAACAGACGACCTGACGCACGAGCACAGGCTCTTTCCCATTGACAGGAAAGAACGTTGCTTGCTCTTTTCGCGGTGGGGACGGGGAAGAACGCAGACAAGGATGAGAGCGAGTAGAATTAATTGGGCTCGCTGAATGGCGGTAACTGTCGGACGAGGCCATAAACCCTTCTGTTGGTTTCTTCCTCCCCACCGAGAAACTTCCTCTTTCATTAGAACCCCCGCCTCTGCATTTTGTCCTCTTATGAGACTCTACAATCACAACCCAATGAAGATCTTCCATCGATTTCTAAAGGCAGCGCCCACGTTCACTTGATGTTCCGCGCACTGGCCAGCATAGGGTTCTATATAGGGTATTTTCCATTTTTTTCTGGCTTTTTCCTTCACTACTGGATCACGTATTATTAGGGCAACCAAAAAAGTTCGTGCGGTTTTTTTGTTTACTTTTATGAAGTATATTCAGTAAACTGGATCTAGTGGTAGGGTAACTTTGAATACATGTTAAGACATATGTCAAGGAGTGTCATTCAGTGTATTTGTTAATTTCAGATTACTTTCAATTAAGGCGAACAGAAAAAAGTTGTGGTTTTCCACCAGGACAATGCTAGACACGCACTGCAAGAATCACTCAGGAAACAATAGCGCGACTAGGATGGGAAATTCTACCTCACCCTCCGTACTCGCCAGACCTTGCTCCAAGTGACTATCATCTGTTTTGGCCTTGGAGAACCGCATGAGGAATCGGCGATTTGAAAATGAAGTGGCCTTGGACAACGAACTAAAACATTTCTTTGATTCCCAGAAGCAAGATTTTTACAAAAATGGAATATATGTTCCTCTAATGGAGAAAGTGTATTTACATGCTGAGGTAATTATTTTACGCGGAAAAATCAAGTTTAACCCCGTTTTTTAATGTTATTATTTCGCTACCTCAAAACCGCACGAACTTTTTTGGTTGCTTAATATATGAGCTCCATATTCATCATTCTTGAAAGCGGGCTCAGCCTTGAAGGCTAAGCCAAAGCAGTTATGGCAGCCAGGTGGGCGGGGCGGCATCCTCTTCACAAGCGGGTGGCGCCATCCTCTCGTATTTTTGAGCTGCGAAATTAGTACATCCTCCACCCTTGTCGACAAAGCTACGATATCTAAGGAGGGCGTAGGAACAGGAATCAAATGAACGCGGGCGCTGCCATTAACAATTCTGCTATGGACATTATACCCAAACGAAAGCGATGACCCCAATAAAGAGGGAAGGATGTTGCATAAATTCCAACCTTTCAATCGGTTCACAGTTTCCCTCAAGATATCAACTTCTCGAGCTTTGTCCAAAGCGTCCAGTCGAATATCCGTCAGTGCCACATCGCGGTCTTCCAACTTCTTTTTCAGTTCATCCACTTCGACTTCTTCCAACCTATATGTGAATCTCTTCATTGTATGTGAAACGGTTTTTCTCCCTAAACAATCCAGCCAGAATTGTGCCTTATGCATAGCAACTTTGAATGACTGGATGTGACATTTTGAGATAATGACTTCTACAGGTTTTAGTTATACCAGTCTTTTTCGCTGCGTTGAGGAGTTAAGGGACGGATCTGATGCGGAGCCAGTTCGTTCTCAACCGATCGTCGAGGAGGGTAAGCGACAACAATCGGGGGAAAATGGGCTGATGCCCAAACCGATCCCCCTTGACACCTCCCACACCAGTATCAGCAGCGAACAGGGCTATAATGGTGCTTCACTATGTAACATCGTAAGTGTGATGCTCAGTACGGTGTGCCAAATATACCCTATATCCCTGAGATGGGGAAGGCGTGACTACATACAACATCCAAATGTGATGGCGACAGCGATACAAGAGTATTATTACCATTTTGAGACCATAGTAGTGAATCTTTCCAGCACAGGAGAGGAGGATAGTTATCTCAAGTATCCCTATCAAAAGCGCACTTTATGTAATGCTGAAATGGAAAATGCAGCCACGCCCTCTCGGTATGGAGCGTACAACTTAACTAACTATAACTATAACTAACACGATAACTTTAACTACAAAAAACAATACCTGGATGACGATCCACTTATGGTATTAAGCGCGTGATGCGGTGAACTCTCGGTATCCGACATCCCACCGTTTTTATTCTTTTTCTTTGAGAACGCCTTGGTTAAGGACGAGCGAATCTGAACGTGAAACATTGGAGAAGTAACTATAAGGAAGCAATCGACCAGCAGCTTTAGAAACTTTGAGCAATCGACACATCACTAACACTTCACTACAAAACAATTTACCTGTACATCGACACCATTAGTCTAAAAAAAGTATTTTTCCATTAACGTAGAAGATAGGGAAGCAAAATTGACCGTTCAACCACAAGAACATTTAGAAAAGGATAAACATAGTAATCAGGCTACAGTACCACAGATTTGCTAACGGCCATTCCTAGAAGCGCAGGTGACTCTCTCACCGGAGGGAACTACGACTTCTTCACTGGCGCCGTGGAATCTTCCCTCATGTGATTCATCACTTCTGTTTTTTCTTCTCACAAGCTCGGAATCATGACCTGTGTGGGAGGATGGGAAGATAGTGAATTGAGAACCTGCCATGAGAATATGAGTTGAGGCTGAAGCTCGACGCACCCAATGAGCAAGATTAACTTCAAGAGTTCACTCACTACCCTCTTCATTTCCACCCTGGACCTACTTTTTCTGATGGGTCTGGACTGGCAACGAAATATTTCCCGTTACGAACTGGCAATGATAGTTGATCAACTGTTCATTTTCACTGGAAAATCTTTAAATTCTTGACATACCCAGCTCTTCTTTGATTTGCCAAAGCTGTTCAGGCTGCTTTTGTCGGTTCGGCTCGACTTACTCGAAGATGACATTGAGGATCTGTGACTAGCAAGCGAAGCTACAGACTCGAGCGATGGTTGACGGAGAAGCTCACCGGCTCCTTCCTGCAACGAGTATTTTCTTGTGGAACACGATCACTAGTAATTCGAAATATAGTACTA